TGTTGCGAAAATGCGAGGCGAATGTCAGATGAAAGAGAGAAGCCGATAACTAGTACATTCTAGAAACGATGAAACAAGAACCTTCGATAGCGAACAACTCGATGCTTCTACGTTTTCGTCTGCGAGCAGCCGACTGCTATATAAGGGCGACACTCAGCTGCCAAGTTAAGTTAGTTACAAAGTGAACTCGTTTGCGTTAACATAGAGTACAGCGGAGTAAACGCGTTGAAGATTACATTTAAGTAGAGTAAATTGTGAAAGTTGATGTTAGTGCATTGTAAATGAATTGTGAATTACTGAGTAAATAAAGAACCTTAGATAAATTCTTTATAACGAAAGAAACTGCAAATTAAGTTGGCGAGTTTTTATTTAACAATCCAGAGATCGCACCCGAAGGATTCAGGAAATAGTCGAGGTTGATTTAGCAAAATCGTAACAATATATAGTTACGAATTTTTTTTAATAATACACGAGAATACTACTTAGACAAAAGAACATTGGCATATAACTTTTTTGTTAAAAAATTTTTGAGATGGATAAGTGACAAAAACAGTGGATTAAAAAATTTATAATATATTAAATTAAGGATTAGCTTGTGAATGGAATATCCACTTCTTCATTAAAATTGGGATTTAAGAGTGTGCAAAGTATTTTCTATGGTTAATTGTAAGGGCAGAGATAATACTCAAATTTTGTGTTCAATTATATGTAAAAAAAATGCACATATTTCGGCGCTCTCGCTTGTCGCCTTTGCTGTGCAGCCTTCTTAACAAAGCGAGTGTTTCGTCGACCAAATATATTGCCGTTGAAAGTCGGACTAAATAAGGTCCAGATTATGCGATTATCGGTACAATCGATTTTTTAAGCACATTTATTTCTTGTCGTACATATATAACATAACATTTTAAAGATTTGAAGTGTTAAAAATTTTAGTTGTATTGTATTACATTGTGATTTTTAAAAATGGAAGAATACGCTAGAGAACCTTGTCCCTTTCGAATTATCGATGACTGTGGAGGTGCCTTCGCAATGGGTTGCATTGGTGGCGGAGTGTTTCAAGCTATAAAAGGGTTCAGGAATGCTCCATCTGGAATAAGCAAGCGAATGGTAGATGTTTATGTGTTTCATAACTATTCAAATTAAAAATGTTTTTACCAGCAAAGAAAAATTTCATAATTACATTTAGTTTACACATCAACAGTAAATGCTGCATTGAAGTTCTTAGGGAAATATATTAGGATATTATGAAAAGCGGCATATGAGTTAATTTGCTTAACTTTCATTAAATTGTTGTTAGTTTATATTGCATAAAAAAAAAATGAAATTACGTGATACACAGTACCAAAAGTAATTTTACAGCTGCCACCGCAGTATTTCCGGTTACAACAGCATTATTAAATACGCTTAAAATAAAACTTGTATGTTGGGACATCACTGGCTTCGCCTTGCTTAGTATTTTTAAGTGAAATACCTTTATGAAAAACATTGTTTAACATTTATATTATTTTACATTGTACGACAATACCTTCCTTTTTTTTGTTGAATATTCTTGAATTTATATAATACTTTACCTTGTACCGCAACACCACTCACTATTCTTTCATTTTCGTTAAACAAACACAAATATTACTTAAATAACTTAAATAAACATTGATTAATTTTATTATAATCAATACAAATGTTCACTTAAATATGGCTGCATACTAATCTGGATAGTGTTGCCGTACGGGTAATAAATTATATAAATCCAACAATATTTAACAAAAAATATGGAAAGTATTGTACCATGTAAAATAATATATAAATTAAATAATTTTTTTAATAAAGGTATTTCACTGGCTAAGGGTTACAATCAAAATCATGGCCCGGACCAACACCGGATTTACCTTGCAAAGTATTCTTAAGTGAAACTTCTTTGGAAGTTGGCGGCCTTGGCCCCGTTTTGGATTGTAGCCCTGGGCTGGACCAATACCGGCTTGCCTTGCACAGTATTTTTAAGTAAAACTCCTTTGCAATTCGGAGGTCTTCGGCCGCGTTTTGGATTGTAACCCTGGACCGGACCAACATCGGCTTTACCTTGCACAGTATTCTTAAGTAAGACTCTTATATTCACACAATCTTTTATGCGAAATTCTCATTTTATTGTGCCTTGATATTAATATTGATTTCTATATTATTTTCCGGAGTGGCAACGACAGCCTAGCCAAGAGTTGTTAGTGTGTTTATAAGTAAAACAGAACCAGGCTCTTTGCATACGAAGAGTGCAACTTTAAAACTTTATAACTTCAAACTACAAATTTGCACGCGACAAAATTAATATCTTTGATAATTTAGATTTCCTACCACCAATTCTGAACATTTCATAAAAAAACTACAGGCTCCAAATTAAAGTCAATCATTGGTCCGGTCCAGGGTTACAATCCAAAACGCGGCCGAACGCTGCCAAATTACAAAGAAGTTTCACTTAAAAATAATATTCAAGCGCGTGCAAAGGGCGCCAACTTATTAAGAAATTTCACTTAAGAAATTTTTTTTTCTGCATATTTATTATTAATTTGTAGATTATTCGAAGTGGCAACGCCTCCCCAGCGAAGTGTTGTTAGGTTTTTTTATAAGTAAAATACAAGCATGCTCTATATATTATATAAGAAAAAAACCATAGGCTCTATACTAAATTTTTCCCGAAATTCCTGGTTGTTTGCTTTCAATATCAAGTGCGGCTGAAGACTTAAGCGCAGCACATTGAAACACATTTATGTTAGAACTAGAATGTATACATGTATGCCAGCAATCATTTACAGTCATGCTAATAATTTTTTTTTTTTTAATAATTTGGGTGCCTTTCGCCGCGATTTAAAAAAATAACCCTGGGCCGTACCAACACTTTGCACAGTATTCTTAAGTGAAGAACCATTATAATTTATTTAATATATAAAAATTAGGTACCAATTTATTAATTTTTCTGTCTATATAGATGTTTCAAAACATCTATCAATGTCGCGAAAGGATTTGTTTTTTTTTTGCTTTAACAGCTCCCGCTTGCATCGAATTCTACTATAACATCGTCAAAATTTTACGGGTTGTTATAGTTTTCTTAATACAAGCCGTATGGAGCTACCCTCATGGACATGTTCTTTTTTATCAGAGAGCAAGGAAGACCTCGACCCATCGAACTGGGCAAACTTCAAGCATAAGGTCCTTAATCATGCCAAGCACACAATGCCATTCTTTCCGTTTCTCTAAAAAAATATATTTTTATTTTTTTAGTGAGTTGGTTTGAGAGGGCATGTGAAGAGGTGGTTAGTGTCATGTTAGAGTCTCCACATGCGGGGCATACGTTGGGTATACTGGGGTCTGCTGCAATATCCTGACCTGATTTGTGGCAGGGTCACGCGGGTCTCTCGAGGCAGCTCGAGCTCCTTGTCTGCTATAGGTGGTGGTTTTTCTCCAAGCACACCAATCACTGGAAGGGAGTCCTTGAAGTGGTGAATGGCGTTCAGTGCTTGTCTGTACGCCGTTGTTGTTGTAACCTCAAAATTATTCCCCAAAGTACTTTTTGGGGAATGTTGTGGGAGTGACAGTCCTTGACCGGATAAAAATCCGGGTCGTTCCGGTATAAAGACATGCCTCTTACGAAAGGCATACCTTACTGCGGTAGCATCCCAATAGGAACTACTTGCACAGCAAAGCATTATTCTCCTTAACGTGTAGCATAGATGCTTCGTTGTGCACGTGATGATCCGGCGAAATGACGAGGTTTCTGTCGCGGTCCTGAGGGCGGTGTTCTGGCAAGCCTGTAGCTTCTTCATCTGCGTCTCGTTGTCCCCGGCGCCCAAATGGGGGCAGCAAGCATAGACCGGCCGTCCAATTTCATTATAACTTTCCAGCAAGGTTTCTTTGTATTTACCCCAGGTGCTGCAGGCTAGTGCTTTTGAGTATTTCGTTGCGGCTCTGGAGTTTTGCGGCAATTGCGGTCCTATGCGGAGTGAAGGAGTGCAGGCGGGGAGAGGACACCACCCTGCAGAACCCTCTTTTTAATTTTTCTGGGTTTTGATGTTACACCTCGCAATATTACCGATGATTGTCGACCACTCAGGTAGCCCATGACCCACCTCTGCAACCTCGGCGGTAATGCGGATTCCTCAATGTCCGTTAGTAGCACTGAATGATTAACTGTGTCAAAAGCTTTAGACAAATCCAGCGCCACCAGGACAGTACGCAGGGTCGGTTTGGTTAAGGCCATGGACTATCTGGGTGTTTATGGCGTTTAGTGCTGTTGTGGCGCTGTGCACTTTTCGAAAGCCATGCTGATGCGCTGCTGGTCGCAGATGGTGAGTGAAAGCCGGGAGCAGTAGGACCTCAAGTGTCTTCGCTACTGGGGAGAGGAGAGTTATCGGCCGATAGGACTCCTTTGTTGGCTGGTTTCACCGGTTTGAGTAGCGGGACCACCCTGCCCATTTACCACATGTCGGGTATCAATAGGGTGGTCAAAGACGAATTGTGGACCCTCGTGAGAAATTCTGCCCCGTTGGTATTTGGTGTTTGAGCATCAGCATGCTCATTCCGTCAGGGCCGATGGATTTGGAGGCTTTCGCCTTTCTGATGACCCCTGAACCCAGAGGAGAGGTTGCAGGTCCTTAGGTGTTGCTCCCACTTTTTCCGTTTAGGATTGTTGACTACTCTCGAAATTCCGCGTTTAAGTCTCTCATTAGGGGATTCCCGGGATCGGAGCTTCGGAGGATGCCGCACCTGGATGCTAATACCGCCGCTTCTGTTGGAAAATTTAGGCGGATCTCCGCAATTCGGCCTGCCGGGATGAAACGGGTGGCAGCGGAATAAACGCTCACCAGTGGTGACGTCTGATGGAGTGGGCAGAGCACTAAAGGCGCTCTCAGTGAATTCCGTGAAGCTTAACCAGTTAGCTTTTTTGAAGTTAACAAATGTCCGGTGGTCCGCGGAAACAATGTCAGGAGACCTGTCAATCGCAATTGTTATATCCGGCGAGCCTTGGCAATTACTCATAACTCTGGTGGGGGTGTTGTCGTTCAATGTGCAGAATGTCGAATCGTCTATTCGTCATTTGACAAGCTAGAATGCCAAAGATCGCGCGTTGCAGTCGTGCAAAACCAAACGGTTTTCACACCTGAGTAGCGCACCTATATCAGGGGTGTATCCTGCTGGGCAACTTGTAACTAGAGGAATGTATATATTTAATATCTCGAGCTCGGCATCGCCTAACCGGATAACTATGACCTGACATTCTAGGGTAGTATCCCTACGGTCGATGCCGCCGTGGATAAAACGATATTGCAGTGTTATGGAGGATGAACGCTACTAGGCCTCCACCATGGTCTCGCTCGCGATCCTTGCGGATTATGATGTATCCGGTCCGGCTCAGAAGATTTGATCGGCCGGTCAAATTAGTTTCCTGGATCGCAGCAATAGACAGGTGCTCCCGGCTCAAGTCGTCGATCCTTCCCTGGAGTCCGTTGCAGTTATATTGTAGGAGTCGGGTCTGTCTCGGGGGAACCTTCGTGATACGGGGGGTGAGAGAGTGATGGATTGTGTTGCTGCTGTAATGCCCGCAGAGGTTTTTTCCGCACATTGGTGTTAATTGCCGGAGGGTTTCTCGAAACAAGCGGAGGCAGACTCCTACAGCAAGGGGCAACATACGCATCGCTCCATTCACGGGTGGTGCGCAGGCCAGAGCACGCCCGAAAGTGGCATCAGCCAGAGCAGGAGTTGCATCTGACTGAGGTCACGTTCCGACGCACTATGGTCTGACACACGGAACAGTTGTGCGGGGGACTAGGAGCTGCTGGGTAGCCCACGCAGGGGAAGAGGGTGAGGAGATGGTTGTGGGTAGGGATAGGGGTGGAGGTTGGAGAGAGTCATGCTGCGGGGAGCTCCGTGCGACCGTAGAGGTCTGTTGATTACTTTGAGTGGGTAAAAGAGCTGAAGGCACTACCGTGAGGGCTTTGGAGGCGATTGGTCGTTGGCAGCATGGGGCACATAACTCGTGGTCCACTCCCTATGGGTTTTCTAGCCTCAACAGGTCTTAAGGTGACTCCAACCATTGCACTGGTTGCATCTAACCGAGATGGAGG